TTCATGCCATGCCAGCCAATGCATTTAACCTCAGATCTAGTCAACAAGACTCGCCCAGCCTAATTGGATATGGGAAATAGAAGGGTGAGGTAGGTCGATCCGACTCGGATCAGACGCTTACATCCTCACAATAAGCGATCAAATCCAGGAGAGGATGGTATGGCTATTTTTGGCATATTGGTCGTCCTCAGCCGTGGCTCAATGTTAGGTCACTGGACCTGAAAAGGCTCAGTAACCAGAGAATATGGATTCGGAGTCTAGGTCTGGCAAACCAGAGGTTAGATATTGCTGACAGGTGACGACTAATAAGCCAGAAATAGCCATCTCAGTCATTCTTGACCTTGTCGGTTTTCATTCCTGGAACAGTTAAATACACTTTGTTAACATCACGACTAGCTGTCAGGCGGGGCCTTGGAGGTTGACAACTAATGGGATAAAATTGTCGGTTGGATGTGGTTATGTGACCCCACCCGAAGTAAACAAACCGCAGTCACGTCTAATACGGGACCGGTGGTAATAGGCGTTTTTACAGGTGGAGCCGGGGAGCGCACAGGCGACGAGGCCAAGTAGTTGTGTGTAAAATAAAAGCTATTGGAAATGCGCGGTTGTAATTTGAATGGTTGAGAAATAGCTGCGCTAACCCCTAACCCTAACCTCTAACTACAATCCCTAATCCTAAACCATAACCCCCAACCCCAACAGAATTGTGTCCATCAGGTGGAGCTACCAAACCACATCTTACCAAATTGCCTAACCTAGGATTGGAGATAGAGTTGTAATGTCTCATTTTTGGCACGCTTTTGATGGCACTGTAACTTGCGCTCAATCCGAGACACCATCCTGAATGAAGCCTAGTACGTGTGGAGTCAGGGGCTTGCGGGTGGTCTCCACAGACCGGCTGCTTACATTCATCAGCGTTCACACCCATTGCCACATTCGGTCGTTTTGATTTTGCCCTGCTCTGAGATCATAGTGGATTTGAGGATGGCGAGATCGTATTTTGAAAATGCATCTCATTTCAAGCATATTAATGCCCGAATCATCACTGCGCCCTAACCGAGGCATTGCTGTTTCTCATCGAGCGTGATGGGAGAAAGATCGCGTACGGGAGATCTGGACTAGGCTGGTTTGCCGATGAGTGCCATGTTGTGAGAGAGTGTGTGCAAGGAAGGTAGGCGTGATGTTTGTTGGCCGGGGATCCCAACACCCATATTCTGGTCCCACTGGCGTGGATTCGTAAACGGTCGACCAGGCTCACACGGGATTTATATGTACTATTGCAATGGGTCATGTTTGTCTAGTGTTTATATTTCTGACGATAGGCGGCCTTTGACCCCCCGAGGTTTTCTATTTCGCTGGATAGGCAACATGGAGGATTTGCTTCGGAGATACTGCTGTTTTGTTATGCAGGAAGTGGGCTGACTGTGATGGCATTGCAGCAAATCCTAAGGTGTTCAATTATGTCACTCCATACCATGGAAGTCGCTTGATAGCGCAGATATACCGGGTCGAGATTTAGCTATGAGATTGTTGGTTCGTGATATTACGTTTTCGACCTTGGCACATCGCGCTGACATCAAAGACTCATATTCCAGTCCTGCAGCACCATGTTACGCATTTCGATGTCAACCAAGGGCTTCGGGGCACTCCTGATTGGAGTCCAAGTGCTTGAGGTAATTATTTGGGGTGCCTTTATATCATTGTTGAAGCCCATCCTGCCTGCAAGCGCCTATAATGGTGTCCCTCCAGAGTATTTGCTTAGGCAGGCAGTGGAGGTCTGAACCTAACTGGCTCTGCCTCAGCATGACCTGGATGCCCAGCGCACAATTCCAATACAAAACCAAGGCGTCCTCCTCATCCGGTTCTGAAATTTTACCTTTAATATCATTCTATGACAGCCTAGATGGCAGTAATTTAACTTCCGCATTGGCCTTTAATGAATTATCCATGGATTCTGCGTCGTAGAAGAGCGATGTCAGCAATGACAGCTCTGTACACTCCAGATTTCATGGTGGAAGGACATTTAGGACGGTTCTCAGCTTGTCAATGGGCCGGGGGCCGGCTGGCTTTGGAGATTCAAGTTCTAATTTCCTCGTTGATTTGATTGGACGTGTAGTGGTGATAACCAGATTAGATGATTGGTATCCCGCTGTGAGGCCGGGACCATTGGCAGTTATCGTAAATTTGTCGTACGGGACAGCTGGGGGCGGTCAGTGCATGACAGTCGTCTTCTGTCTACTTATGATTCATTCGAAGTTGGCTGATTCTGTTACGAAAATATCTACGCATTGCCACACGTCAGCATATCGACAAAGAGGTAGACTCTCGTCTGAGAGGTTTTTGTAACGGCTTGTACGCAATTGAATTTCATTAGTTTCGCGTTGTCTCGTTAGATTATTTCGATGCATGATGAATCCCCTCAGTAGGCGTCCATCAGCGTAAACCGCTCAAGATGTCCAGATACCTTTCTTGCTTTGTCCAAAAGGTCATGGTTTACGGAGTCGAAGGACTTGGTGAGATGGTGTAGCGACTGGTATGCATTTCCAGA